CTGAAGGTACAACCGTGTCTCAAACTTCTGGCATAACAGTATCAAGCACCGAAGGTACCACTGTCTCACAGACTAATGAAACTACAGCTGAGACAACAACAGGCACAATCGCAACTACCACCTCGCCAGTGATAAGCACCGAAGGTACAACCGTGTCTCAAACTTCTGGCACTACAGTTTCAAGCACCGAAGGTACAACCGTCTCTCAGACTACTGGCACAACAGTGTCAAGCACCGAAGGTACAACTGTTCCTCAAACTACTGGCACTACAGCTGAGACAACAACAGGCACAATTGAAACTACGACCTCGCCAGTTACAAGCACCGAAGGTACAACCGTTTCTCAAACTTCTGGCACTACAGTATCAAGCACCGAAGGTACCATTGTCTCACAGACTACTGGAACTACAGCTGAGACAACAACAGGCACAATCGCAACTACCTACTCGCCAGTGATAAGCACCGAAGGTACAACCGTGTCTCAAACTTCTGGCACTACTGTTTCAAGCACCGAAGGTACAACCGTTTCTCAGATTAATGGCACAACAGTGTCAAGCACCGAAGGTACAACTGTTCCTCAAACTACTGACACTACAGCTGAAACAACAAAAGGCACAATTGAAACTACGACCTCGCGAGTTACAAGCACCAAAGGTACAACCGTGTCTCAAACTTCTGGCACTACAGTATCAAGCACCGAAGGTACCACTGTCTCACAGACTACTGGAACTACAGCTGAGACAACAACAGGCACAATCGCAACTACCACCTCGCCAGTGATAAGCACTGAAGGTACAACCGTGTCTCAAAATTCTGGCACTACAGTTTCAAGCACCGAAGGTACAACCGTCTCTCAGACTACTGGCACAACAGTGTCAAGGACCGAAGGTAGAACTGTTCCTCAGACAACTGGCACAACAGTGTCAAGCACCGAAGGTACAACTGTTCCTCAAACTACTGGCACTACAGCTAAGACAACAACAGGCACAATTGAAACTACGACCTCGCCAGTTACAAGCACCGAAGGTACAACCGTGTCTCAAACTTCTCGGACTACAGTTTCAAGCACCGAAGGTACCACTGTCTCACAGACTACTGGAACTACAGCTGAGACAACAACAGGCACAATCGCAACTACCACCTCGCCAGTGACAAACACCGAAGGTACAACCGTGTCTCAAACTTCTGGCACTTCAGTATCTAGCACCGAAGATACCACTGGTTTTCAGACTAGTGGACCTACAGCTGAGACAACGATTGGCACAATCGCAACTACCATCTCGCCATTGACAAACACCGAAGGTACAACCGTGTCTCAAACTTCTCGGACTACAATTTCAAGCACCGAAGGTACAACTGTCTCACAGACTACTGGCACTACAGTCGATACAAAAACAGGCACAATTGAAACTACAACATCGCCAGTGACAAACACCGAAGGTACAGCCGTGTCTCAAACTTCTGGCACTTCACTATCAAGCACCGAAGGTACCACTGGCTCACAGACTAGTGCACCTACAGCTGAGACAACGACAGGCACAATCTCAACTACCACCTCGCCAGTGACAAGCACCGAAGGTACAACTGTGTCTCAAACTTCTCGGACTACAGTTTCAAGCACCGAAGGTACAACTGTCTCACAGACTACTAGCACTACAGTCGATACAAAAACAGGCACAATTGAAACTACAACCTTGCCAGTGACCAGCACAGAAGGTACAACCGTGTCTCAAACCTCTGGCACTTCACTATCAAGCACCGAAGGTACCACTGTCTCACAGACTACTGGAACTACAGCTGAGACAACAAAAGGCACAATCGCAACTACCACCTCGTCTGTGACAAGCACCCAAGGTACAATCGTGTCTCAAACTTCTGGCACTTCACTATCAGGCACCGAAGGTACCACTGTCTCACAGACTACTGGAACTACAGCTGACACAACCACAGTCACAATCGCAACTACCATCTCGCCATTGACAAACGCCGAAGGTTCAACCGTGTCTCAAACTTCTCGGACTACAGTTTCAAGCACTGAAGGTACAACTGTCTCACAGACTACTGGCACTACAGTCGATACAAAAACAGGAACAATTGAAACTACAACCTCGCCAGTGACAAACACCGAAGGTACAGCCGTGTCTCAAACTTCTGGCACTTCACTATCAAGCACCGAAGGTACCACTGTCTCACATACTACCGGAACTACAGCTGAGACAACAAAAGGCACAATCGCAACTACCACCTCGCCTGTGTCAAGCCCCGAAGGTCCAACCGTGTCTCAAACTTCTGGCAATGCAGTATCAAGCACCGAAGGTACCACTGTCTCACAGACTACTGGAACTACAGCTGACACAACCACAGTCACAATCGCAACTACCATCTCGCCAGTGACCAGCACCGAAGGTACAACCGTGTCTCAAACGTCTGGCAATGCAGTATCAAGCACCGACGGTACCACTGTCTCACAGACTACTGGAACTACAGCTGAGACAACAACAGGCACAATTGAAACTACCACCTCGCCTGTGACAAGCACCGAAGGTCCAACCGTGTCTCAAACTTCTGGCAATGCAGTATCAAGCACCGAAGGTACCACTGTCTCACAGACTACTGGAACTACAGCTGAGACAACCACAGTCACAATCGCAACTACCATTTCGCCAGTGACCAGCACCGAAGGTACAACCGTGTCTCAAACGTCTGGCAATGCAGTATCAAGCACCGACGGTACCACTGTCTCACAGACTACTGGAACTACAGCTGAGACAACAACTGGCACAATTGAAACTACCACCTCGCCTGTGACAAGCACCGAAGGTCCAACCGTGTCTCAAACTTCTGGCAATGCAGTATCAAGCACCGAAGGTACCACTGTCTCACAGACTACTGGAACTACAGCTGAGACAACCACAGTCACAATCGCAACTACCATCTCGCCAGTGACCAGCACCGAAGGTACAACCGTGTCTCAAACTTCTGGAACTGTACTATCAAGCACCGAAGGTACCACTGTCTCACGGACTACTGGAACTACAGCTGAGACAACAACAGGCACAATCGCAACTACCACCTCGCCTGTGACAATCACCGAAGGTACAACAGTGTCTCAAACCTCTGGCACTACACTTGCAAGCCTGGAAGGTACAACTGTCTCACAGACTACTGGCACTACAGTCGATACAACAACAGGCATAGTCGCAACGTCAACCTCCCCAGTAACCAGCACCGAAGGTACAACCGTGTCTCAGACTACTGACACTACAGTATCAAGCACCGAAGGTACCACTGTCTCACAGACTACTGGAACTACAGCTGAGAAAACGACAGGCACAATCGCAAATGACACCTCGCCAGTGACTACTGGCACTGCAGTATCAAGCACCGAAGGTACAACCGTCTCTCACACTACTGGCACAACAATGTCAAGCACCGGAGGTACAACTGTTTCTCAAACTACTGGCACTACAGCTGAAATAACGACAGGAAAAGTTGCAACTACCACCTCGTCAATGACCAGCACCGCAGGTACAACCGTGTCTGATACTACAAGTCTTTCAGCTGAGACGACTATCACATCTGAAACAAACTTAGTAGTGACCACCACTGAAGGTACAAGAAAGGCAAAAGATATCATTGGAACATCAAAACTCGAAAATTCTGAAAACGCCATGGGAAAAAAAAACAAAAAAATTCCAAAAGACATAGAAAAGTTTACATAACACAACATAAAAAATTTAAGACTGAGCAACACGAACCTTACCAAAACCAGGGTTATTTCAGGTGCTCCGGGAGGATAAGCAAATCCTGCTCTATATAAACTCTACAACTTTCTCTAATTTTTTTTTGGGGGGGGGGGGGGGGGGGTTTCTAATTTGGCTTTTGAAAATTGTGGTCTCGATCGTACCTGAAGAAGGTTATTCCTGAATGACATGTTGTTCGTACGGTAATAACTTAGAAGCAACAGTAGTTATCTGGTGTTTAAATCGTGTACATCTATTAGTACTCCTAATATACATAATCAAAATTTAAAAATAAAACATGAGGAAATGGCATGAACTCCTAACGAAGTGAGTCTGGGTGCGTCGAAAGGGTAAAAGTCTCTTGAAATGCATGCATAGCCGGTCTTGTGAATTCAAACATAATCAAAATTTCATACAAGTGAATAGGGCAAAATCAGTAATAATACGTTTTTATGTTATGCAAATGAAAAAAATGATTTTTACATATGAAATAAATATTGTTTGGTGCGTAATTTGCTGGACAACAACATAATTGTCTTGAAGAGCGAATGAAGCATCCACAACCTTGGGCTTCTTGAAATATCAGTTCATTCTTTTTTATCTTTGGGATTTTCGTTTTAATTTATCAATTAATATATAGTTAAGGCATTGAAGGTGCGTTAGTTTAAACCTATAAAAAATATTTCCCGAAATTATTTTTTTCTATTGACCAGTCAACTCATCAAAGTTCCGTCCAACAAATCCTTTTGTGTATTTTGTTTTGGTTTTTGAAAAGTAAAAATCGACTATTTAAAATTTAACTCTAGTTTAAATTAACCTTGTCCAACCGTGAAACTTCTATGTAGAGGTTTATGTTCATTCAAAATTACTTCATCTTTAAGTTATGAAATGAGATAAGTTAATTTTGAATGGAACAGTTGGCAGTTCAAGTTGAACGTCTACAAGGACCAAGATCTGTGAAGGTATTATTCTTATATATATCATCTGTCGTATAATTAAGTGTTTTCTGCATTATCGCACTTATTTGGTCCTTAATGCTCTTCAACTTCATAATTTAATTGGCCTTTTCAACTTGTTTGCTTTGAGCGTCACTGATGAGTCCTTTAAACACAAAACGCGCGTCTAGCGTTCACAAGTTTAATCATGGTATCAATGATGAGTTTATAATATAAATACATGTCCGTTTTTACTTACGAATAAATCTGCTTTTTATAGGTTCAGTAGAAACTACCACCTCGCTAATGACCAGCACGGAAGGTACAGCCGTCTCTCATATTACTGGTACTACAACTGAGACAACGACAGGTACGAGCGCAATTACCACCTCGCCAGTGACCAGCATAGAAGGTACAACCGTCTCTCAAACAACTGGTACAACAGTGTCAAGCACCGAAGGATCAGCTCATTCTTTTTAATCAATGGAATTTTCGTTTTTCTCTTTAGATCATTTAATCTTTTCGTATTTGCTTTAATAAAATGAATGAACTAACCAATCAATCAATCAATCAATCAATCAATCAATTTCTCAATTAATCGTTAGATAAGCCAATGAAGTTGCGTTAGTTCAAACCTATCAAAAATATTTCTCAAAACTATATTTTTTTCTATTAATGTGTAAACTCATCAAAGATCCACTCGAAAAACTCTTTGCGTATTTTGTTCTGGTTTTTCAAAACTAAATATTACAAATCAAACTGGAGTTTAACTTAACCTCGCTCAAATGAGATAAGTTAATTCTGCATGCATTATCGCATTAATATCAATACATATTTGTTTTAATTTACAAAAATCTGCTTTTTTATAGGCTCAGTCGCAAGTACCACGCCGCCAGTGACCAGCACCGAAGGTACAACCGTGTCTCAGACTACTAGCACAACAGTGTCAAGCACCGAAGGTACAACCGTGTCTCAGACTACTGGCACAGTGTCAAGCACCGAAGGTACAACTGTTCCTCAAACTACTGGCACTACAGTATCAAGCACCGAAGGTACAACCGTCTCTCAGACTACTGGCACAACAGTGTCAACCACCGAAGGTACAACTGTTCCTCAAACTACTGGCACTTCAGCTGAGACAACAACAGGCACAATTGAAACTACGACCTCGCCAGTTATAAACACCGAAGGTACAACCGTGTCTCAAACTTCTGGCACTACAGTATCAAGCACCGAAGGAACCACTGTCTCACAGACTACTGGAACTACAGCTGAGACAACAACAGGCACAACTGAAACTACGACCTCGCCAGTTACAAGCACCGAAGGTACAACCGTGTCTCAAACTTCTGGCACTACAGTATCAAGCACCGAAGGAACCACTGTCTCACAGACTACTGGAACTACAGCTGAGACAACGACAGGCACAATCGCAACAACAATCTCGCCAGTGACAAGCACTGAAGGTACAACCGTGTCTCAGACTTCTGGCACTACAGTATCAAGCACCGAAGGTACCACTGTCTCACAAACTACTGGAACTACAGCTGAGACAACGACAGGCACAATCGCAACTACCATCTCGCCAGTGACAAGCACCGAAGGTACAACCGTGTCTCAGACTACTGGCACAACAGTGTCAAGCACCGAAGGTACAACTGTGTCTCAGACTTCTGGCACTACAGTATCAAGCACCGAAGGTACCACTGTCTCACAGAGAACTGGAACTACAGCTGAGATAACGACAGGCACAATCGCAACTACCATCTCGCCAGTGACAAGCACCGAAGGTACAACCGTGTCTCAGACTACTGGCACAACAGTGTCAAGCACCGAAGGTACAACCGTGTCTCAGACTACTGGCACAACAGTGTCAAGCACCAAAGGTACAACTGTTCCTCAAACTACTGGCACTACAGTATCAAGCACCGAACGTACAACCGTGTCTCAAACTTCTGGCACTACAGTATCAAGCACCGAACGAACCACTGTCTCACAGAATACTGGAACTACAGCTGAGACAACAACAGGCACAATTGAAACTACGACCTCGCCAGTTACAAGCACCGAAGGTACAACCGTGTCTCAAACTTCTGGCACTACAGTATCAAGCACCGAAGGTACCACTGTCTCACAGACTACTGGAATTACAGCTGAGACAACGACAGGCACAATCGCAACTACCATCTCGCCAGTGACAAGCACCGAAGGTACAACCGTGTCTCAGACTTCTGGCACTACAGTATCAAGCACCGAAGGTACCACTGTCTCACAGACTACTGGAATTACAGCTGAGACAACGACAGGCACAATCGCAACTACCATCTCGCCAGTGACAAGCACCGAAGGTACAACCGTGTCTCAGACTACTGGCACAACAGTGTCAAGCACCGAAGGTACAACCGTGTCTCAGACTACTGGCACAACAGTGTCAAGCACCGAAGGTACAACTGTTCCTCAAACTACTGGCACTATAGTATCAAGCACCGAAGGTACAACCGTCTCTCAGACTACTGGCACAACAGTGTCAACCACCGAAGGTACAACTGTTCCTCAAACTACTGGCACTACAGCTGAGACAACAACAGGCACAATCGCAACTACCATCTCGCCAGTGACAAACACCGAAGGTACAACCGTGTCTCAACCTACTGGCACTAAAGTATCAAGTACCGAAGGTACCACTGTCTCACAGACTACTGGAACTACAGCTGAGACAACGACAGGCACAATCGCAACTACCATCTCGCCAGTGACAAGCACCGAAGGTACAACCGTGTCTCAGACTACTGGCACAACAGTGTCAAGCACCGAAGGTACAACTGTTCCTCAAACTACTGGCACTACAGTATCAAGCACCGAAGGTACAACCGTCTCTCAGACTACTGGCACAACAGTGTCAAGCACCGAAGGTACAACTGTTCCTCAAACTACTGGCACTACAGCTGAGACAACAACAGGCACAACTGAAACTACGACCTCGCCAGTTACAAGCACCGAAGGTACAACCGTTTCTCAAACTTCTGGCACTACAGTATCAAGCACCGAAGGAACCACTGTCTCACAGACTACTGGAACTACAGCTGAGACAACGACAGGCACAATCGCAACTACAATCTCGCCAGTGACAAGCACTGAAGGTACAACCGTGTCTCAGACTTCTGGCACTACAGTATCAAGCAACAAAGGTACCACTGTCTCACAAACTACTGGAACTACAGCTGAGACAACGACAGGCACAATCGCAACTACCATCTCGCCAGTGACAAGCACCGAAGGTACAACCGTGTCTCAGACTACTGGCACAACAGTGTCAAGCACCGAAGGTACAACCGTGTCTCAGACTACTGGCACAACAGTGTCAAGCACCGAAGGTACAACTGTTCCTCAAACTACTGGCACTACAGTATCAAGCACCGAAGGTACAACCGTGTCTCAAACTTCTGGCACTACAGTATCAAGCACCGAAGGAACCACTGTCTCACAGACTACTGGAACTACAGCTGAGACAACAACAGGCACAATTGAAACTACGACCTCGCCAGTTACAAGCACCGAAGGTACAACCGTGTCTCAAACTTCTGGCACTACAGTATCAAGCACCGAAGGAACCACTGTCTCACAGAATACTGGAACTACAGCTGAGACAACAACAGGCACAATTGAAACTACGACCTCGCCAGTTACAAGCACCGAAGGTACAACCGTGTCTCAAACTTCTGGCACAGTATCAAGCACCGAAGGTACCACTGTCTCACAGACTACTGGAACTACAGCTGAGACAACGACAGGCACAATCGCAACTACCATCTCGCCAGTGACAAGCACCGAAGGTACAACCGTGTCTCAGACTACTGGCACAACAGTGTCAAGCACCGAAGGTACAACCGTGTCTCAGACTACTGGCACAACAGTGTCAAGCACCGAAGGTACAACTGTTCCTCAAACTACTGGCACTACAGTATCAAGCACCGAAGGTACAACCGTCTCTCAGACTACTGGCACAACAGTGTCAAGCACCGAAGGTACAACCGTGTCTCAGACTACTGGCACAACAGTGTCAAGCACCGAAGGTACAACTGTTCCTCAAACTACTGGCACTATAGTATCAAGCACCGAAGGTACAACCGTCTCTCAGACTACTGGCACAACAGTGTCAACCACCGAAGGTACAACTGTTCCTCAAACTACTGGCACTACAGCTGAGACAACAACAGGCACAATCGCAACTACCATCTCGCCAGTGACAAATACCGAAGGTTCAACCGTGTCTCAAACTACTGGCACTAAAGTATCAAGTACCGAAGGTACCACTGTCTCACAGACTACTGGAACTACAGCTGAGACAACGACAGGCACAATCGCAACTACCATCTCGCCAGTGACAAGCACCGAAGGTACAACCGTGTCTCAGACTACTGGCACAACAGTGTCAAGCACCGAAGGTACAACTGTTCCTCAAACTACTGGCACTACAGTATCAAGCACCGAAGGTACAACCGTCTCTCAGACTACTGGCACAACAGTGTCAAGCACCGAAGGTACAACTGTTCCTCAAACTACTGGCACTACAGCTGAGACAACAACAGGCACAACTGAAACTACGACCTCGCCAGTTACAAGCACCGAAGGTACAACCGTTTCTCAAACTTCTGGCACTACAGTATCAAGCACCGAAGGAACCACTGTCTCACAGACTACTGGAACTACAGCTGAGACAACGACAGGCACAATCGCAACTACAATCTCGCCAGTGACAAGCACTGAAGGTACAACCGTGTCTCAGACTTCTGGCACTACAGTATCAAGCAACAAAGGTACCACTGTCTCACAAACTACTGGAACTACAGCTGAGACAACGACAGGCACAATCGCAACTACCATCTCGCCAGTGACAAGCACCGAAGGTACAACCGTGTCTCAGACTACTGGCACAACAGTGTCAAGCACCGAAGGTACAACCGTGTCTCAGACTACTGGCACAACAGTGTCAAGCACCGAAGGTACAACTGTTCCTCAAACTACTGGCACTACAGTATCAAGCACCGAAGGTACAACCGTGTCTCAAACTTCTGGCACTACAGTATCAAGCACCGAAGGAACCACTGTCTCACAGACTACTGGAACTACAGCTGAGACAACAACAGGCACAATTGAAACTACGACCTCGCCAGTTACAAGCACCGAAGGTACAACCGTGTCTCAAACTTCTGGCACTACAGTATCAAGCACCGAAGGAACCACTGTCTCACAGAATACTGGAACTACAGCTGAGACAACAACAGGCACAATTGAAACTACGACCTCGCCAGTTACAAGCACCGAAGGTACAACCGTGTCTCAAACTTCTGGCACAGTATCAAGCACCGAAGGTACCACTGTCTCACAGACTACTGGAACTTTAGCTGAGACAACAACAGGCACAATTGAAACTACGACCTCGCCAGTTACAAGCACCGAAGGTACAACCGTGTCTCAAACTTCTGGCACTACAGTATCAAGCACCGAAGGTACCACTGTCTCACAGACTACTGGAACTACAGCTGAGACAACGACAGGCACAATCGCAACTACCATCTCGCCAGTGACAAGCACCGAAGGTACAACCGTGTCTCAGACTACTGGCACAACAGTGTCAAGCACCGAAGGTACAACCGTGTCTCAGACTACTGGCACAACAGTGTCAAGCACCGAAGGTACAACTGTTCCTCAAACTACTGGCACTACAGTATCAAGCACCGAAGGTACAACCGTCTCTCAGACTACTGGCACAACAGTGTCAACCACCGAAGGTACAACTGTTCCTCAAACTACTGGCACTACAGCTGAGACAACAACAGGCACAATTGAAACTACGACCTCGCCAGTTACAAACACCGAAGGTACAACCGTGTCTCAAACTTCTGGCACTACAGTATCAAGCACCGAAGGAACCACTGTCTCACAGACTACTGGAACTACAGCTGAGACAACAACAGGCACAATTGAAACTACGACCTCGCCAGTTACAAGCACCGAAGGTACAACCGTGTCTCAAACTTCTGGCACTACAGTATCAAGCACCGAAGGTACCACTGTCTCACAGACTACTGGAACTACAGCTGAAACAACGACAGGCACAATCGCAACTACCATCTCGCCAGTGACAAGCACCGAAGGTACAACCGTGTCTCAGACTACTGGCACAACAGTGTCAAGCACCGAAGGTACAACTGTTCCTCAAACTACTGGCACTACAGTATCAAGCACCGAAGGTACAACCGTCTCTCAGACTACTGGCACAACAGTGTCAAGCACCGAAGGTACAACTGTTCCTCAAACTACTGGCACTACAGTTGACACAACAACAGGCACAACTGAAACTACGACCTCGCCAGTTACAAGCACCGAAGGTAAAACCGTGTCTCAAACTTCTGGCACTACAGTATCAAGCACCGAAGGAACCACTGTCTCACAGACTACTGGAACTACAGCTGAGACAACGACAGGCACAATCGCAACTACCATCTCGCCAGTGACAAGCACTGAAGGTACAACCGTGTCTCAGACTTCTGGCACTACAGTAACAAGCACCGAAGGTACCACTGTCTCACAAACTACTGGAACTACAGCTGAGACAACGACAGGCACAATCGCAACTACCATCTCGCCAGTGACAAGCACCGAAGGTACAACCGTGTCTCAGACTACTGGCACAACAGTGTCAAGCACCGAAGGTACAACTGTTCCTCAAACTACTGGCACTACAATATCAAGCACCGAAGGTACAACCGTGTCTCAAACTTCTGGCACTACAGTATCAAGCACCGAAGGAACCACTGTCTCACAGACTACTGGAACTACAGCTGAGACAACGACAGGCACAATCGCAACTACCATCTCGCCAGTGACAAGGACTGAAGGTACAACCGTGTCTCAGACTTCTGGCACTACAGTATCAAGCACCGAAGGTATCACTGTCTCACAAACTACTGGAACTACAGCTGAGACAACGACAGGCACAATCGCAACTACCATCTCGCCAGTGACAAGCACCGAAGGTACAACCGTGTCTCAGACTACTGGCACAACAGTGACAAGCACCGAAGGTACAACTGTTCCTCAAACTACTGGCACTACAGTATCAAGCACCGAAGGTACAACCGTCTCTCAGACTACTGGCACAACAGTGTCAAGCACCGAAGGTACAACTGTTCCTCAAACTACTGGCACTACAGCTGAGACAACAACAGGCACAACTGAAACTACGACCTCGCCAGTTACAAGCACCGAAGGTACAACCGTTTCTCAAACTTCTGGCACTACAGTATCAAGCACCGAAGGAACCACTGTCTCACAGACTACTGGAACTACAGCTGAGACAACGACAGGCACAATCGCAACTACAATCTCGCCAGTGACAAGCACTGAAGGTACAACCGTGTCTCAGACTTCTGGCACTACAGTATCAAGCAACAAAGGTACCACTGTCTCACAAACTACTGGAACTACAGCTGAGACAACGACAGGCACAATCGCAACTACCATCTCGCCAGTGACAAGCACCGAAGGTACAACCGTGTCTCAGACTACTGGCACAACAGTGTCAAGCACCGAAGGTACAACCGTGTCTCAGACTACTGGCACAACAGTGTCAAGCACCGAAGGTACAACTGTTCCTCAAACTACTGGCACTACAGTATCAAGCACCGAAGGTACAACCGTGTCTCAAACTTCTGGCACTACAGTATCAAGCACCGAAGGAACCACTGTCTCACAGACTACTGGAACTACAGCTGAGACAACAACAGGCACAATTGAAACTACGACCTCGCCAGTTACAAGCACCGAAGGTACAACCGTGTCTCAAACTTCTGGCACTACAGTATCAAGCACCGAAGGAACCACTGTCTCACAGAATACTGGAACTACAGCTGAGACAACAACAGGCACAATTGAAACTACGACCTCGCCAGTTACAAGCACCGAAGGTACAACCGTGTCTCAAACTTCTGGCACAGTATCAAGCACCGAAGGTACCACTGTCTCACAGACTACTGGAACTACAGCTGAGACAACGACAGGCACAATCGCAACTACCATCTCGCCAGTGACAAGCACCGAAGGTACAACCGTGTCTCAGACTACTGGCACAACAGTGTCAAGCACCGAAGGTACAACCGTGTCTCAGACTACTGGCACAACAGTGTCAAGCACCGAAGGTACAACTGTTCCTCAAACTACTGGCACTACAGTATCAAGCACCGAAGGTACAACCGTCTCTCAGACTACTGGCACAACAGTGTCAACCACCGAAGGTACAACTGTTCCTCAAACTACTGGCACTACAGCTGAGACAACAACAGGCACAATTGAAACTACGACCTCGCCAGTTACAAACACCGAAGGTACAACCGTGTCTCAAACTTCTGGCACTACAGTATCAAGCACCGAAGGAACCACTGTCTCACAGACTACTGGAACTACAGCTGAGACAACAACAGGCACAATTGAAACTACGACCTCGCCAGTTACAAGCACCGAAGGTACAACCGTGTCTCAAACTTCTGGCACTACAGTATCAAGCACCGAAGGTACCACTGTCTCACAGACTACTGGAACTACAGCTGAGACAACGACAGGCACAATCGCAACTACCATCTCGCCAGTGACAAGCACCGAAGGTACAACCGTGTCTCAGACTACTGGCACAACAGTGTCAAGCACCGAAGGTACAACCGTGTCTCAGACTACTGGCACAACAGTGTCAAGCACCGAAGGTACAACTGTTCCTCAAACTACTGGCACTACAGTATCAAGCACCGAAGGTACAACCGTCTCTCAGACTACTGGCACAACAGTGTCAACCACCGAAGGTACAACTGTTCCTCAAACTACTGGCACTACAGCTGAGACAACAACAGGCACAATTGAAACTACGACCTCGCCAGTTACAAACACCGAAGGTACAACCGTGTCTCAAACTTCTGGCACTACAGTATCAAGCACCGAAGGAACCACTGTCTCACAGACTACTGGAACTACAGCTGAGACAACAACAGGCACAATTGAAACTACGACCTCGCCAGTTACAAGCACCGAAGGTACAACCGTGTCTCAAACTTCTGGCACTACAGTATCAAGCACCGAAGGTACCACTGTCTCACAGACTACTGGAACTACAGCTGAAACAACGACAGGCACAATCGCAACTACCATCTCGCCAGTGACAAGCACCGAAGGTACAACCGTGTCTCAGACTACTGGCACAACAGTGTCAAGCACCGAAGGTACAACTGTTCCTCAAACTACTGGCACTACAGTATCAAGCACCGAAGGTACAACCGTCTCTCAGACTACTGGCACAACAGTGTCAAGCACCGAAGGTACAACTGTTCCTCAAACTACTGGCACTACAGTTGACACAACAACAGGCACAACTGAAACTACGACCTCGCCAGTTACAAGCACCGAAGGTACAACCGTGTCTCATACTTCTGGCACTACAGTATCAAGCACCGAAGGAACCACTGTCTCACAGACTACTGGAACTACAGCTGAGACAACGACAGGCACAATCGCAACTACCATCTCGCCAGTGACAAGCACTGAAGGTACAACCGTGTCTCAGACTTCTGGCACTACAGTAACAAGCACCGAAGGTACCACTGTCTCACAAACTACTGGAACTACAGCTGAGACAACGACAGGCACAATCGCAACTACCATCTCGCCAGTGACAAGCACCGAAGGTACAACCGTGTCTCAGACTACTGGCACAACAGTGTCAAGCACCGAAGGTACAACTGTTCCTCAAACTACTGGCACTACAATATCAAGCACCGAAGGTACAACCGTGTCTCAAACTTCTGGCACTACAGTATCAAGCACCGAAGGAACCACTGTCTCACAGACTACTGGAACTACAGCTGAGACAACGACAGGCACAATCGCAACTACCATCTCGCCAGTGACAAGGACTGAAGGTACAACCGTGTCTCAGACTTCTGGCACTACAGTATCAAGCACCGAAGGTATCACTGTCTCACAAACTACTGGAACTACAGCTGAGACAACGACAGGCACAATCGCAACTACCATCTCGCCAGTGACAAGCACCGAAGGTACAACCGTGTCTCAGACTACTGGCACAACAGTGACAAGCACCGAAGGTACAACTGTTCCTCAAACTACTGGCACTACAGTATCAAGCACCGAAGGTACAACCGTCTCTCAGACTACTGACACAACAGTGTCAAGCACCGAAGGTACAACTGTTCCTCAAACTACTGGCACTACAGCTGAGACAACAACAGGCACAACTGAAACTACGACCTCGCCAGTTACAAGCACCGAAGGTACAACCGTTTCTCAAACTTCTGGCACTACAGTATCAAGCACCGAAGGAACCACTGTCTCACAGACTACTGGAACTACAGCTGAGACAACGACAGGCACAATCGCAACTACAATCTCGCCAGTGACAAGCACTGAAGGTACAACCGTGTCTCAGACTTCTGGCACTACAGTATCAAGCAACAAAGGTACCACTGTCTCACAAACTACTGGAACTACAGCTGAGACAACGACAGGCACAATCGCAACTACCATCTCGCCAGTGACAAGCACCGAAGGTACAACCGTGTCTCAGACTACTGGCACAACAGTGTCAAGCACCGAAGGTACAACCGTGTCTCAGACTACTGGCACAACAGTGTCAAGCACCGAAGGTACAACTGTTCCTCAAACTACTGGCACTACAGTATCAAGCACCGAAGGTACAACCGTGTCTCAAACTTCTGGCACTACAGTATCAAGCACCGAAGGAACCACTGTCTCACAGACTACTGGAACTACAGCTGAGACAACAACAGGCACAATTGAAACTACGACCTCGCCAGTTACAAGCACCGAAGGTACAACCGTGTCTCAAACTTCTGGCACTACAGTATCAAGCACCGAAGGAACCACTGTCTCACAGAATACTGGAACTACAGCTGAGACAACAACAGGCACAATTGAAACTACGACCTCGCCAGTTACAAGCACCGAAGGTACAACCGTGTCTCAAACTTCTGGCACAGTATCAAGCACCGAAGGTACCACTGTCTCACAGACTACTGGAACTACAGCTGAGACAACGACAGGCACAATCGCAACTACCATCTCGCCAGTGACAAGCACCGAAGGTACAACCGTGTCTCAGACTACTGGCACAACAGTGTCAAGCACCGAAGGTACAACCGTGTCTCAGACTACTGGCACAACAGTGTCAAGCACCGAAGGTACAACTGTTCCTCAAACTACTGGCACTACAGTATCAAGCACCGAAGGTACAACCGTCTCTCAGACTACTGGCACAACAGTGTCAACCACCGAAGGTACAACTGTTCCTCAAACTACTGGCACTACAGCTGAGACAACAACAGGCACAATTGAAACTACGACCTCGCCAGTTACAAACACCGAAGGTACAACCGTGTCTCAAACTTCTGGCACTACAGTATCAAGCACCGAAGGAACCACTGTCTCACAGACTACTGGAACTACAGCTGAGACAACAACAGGCACAATTGAAACTACGACCTCGCCAGTTACAAGCACCGAAGGTACAACCGTGTCTCAAACTTCTGGCACTACAGTATCAAGCACCGAAGGTACCACTGTCTCACAGACTACTGGAACTACAGCTGAGACAACGACAGGCACAATCGCAACTACCATCTCGCCAGTGACAAGCACTGAAGGTACAACCGTGTCTCAGACTACTGGCACTAAAGTATCAAGTACCGAAGGTACCACTGTCTCACAGACTACTGGAACTACAGCTGAGACAACGACAGGCACAATCGCAACTACCATCTCGCCAGTGACAAGCACCGAAGGTACAACCGTGTCTCAGACTACTGGCACAACAGTGTCAAGCACCGAAGGTACAACTGTTCCTCAAACTACTGGCACTACAGTATCAAGCACTGAAGGTACAACCGTCTCTCAGACTATGGGCACAACAGTGTCAAGCACCGAAGGTACAACTGTTCCTCAAACTACTGGCACTACAGCTGAGACAACAACAGGCACAACTGAAACTACGACCTCGCCAGTTACAAGCACCGAAGGTACAACCGTGTCTCAAACTTCTGGCACTACAGTAACAAGCACCGAAGGTACCACTGTCTCACAAACTACTGGAACTACAGCTGAGACAACGACAGGCACAATCGCAACTACCATCTCGCCAGTGACAAGCACCGAAGGTACAACCGTGTCTCAGACTACTGGCACAACAGTGTCAAGCACCGAAGGTACAACTGTTCCTCAAACTACTGGCACTACAATATCAAGCACCGAAGGTACAACCGTGTCTCAAACTTCTGGCACTACAGTATCAAGCACCGAAGGAACCACTGTCTCACAGACTACTGGAACTACAGCTGAGACAACGACAGGCACAATCGCAACTACCATCTCGCCAGTGACAAGGACTGAAGGTACAACCGTGTCTCAGACTTCTGGCACTACAGTATCAAGCACCGAAGGTATCACTGTCTCACAAACTACTGGAACTACAGCTGAGACAACGACAGGCACAATCGCAACTACCATCTCGCCAGTGACAAGCACCGAAGGTACAACCGTGTCTCAGACTACTGGCACAACAGTGACAAGCACCGAAGGTACAACTGTTCCTCAAACTACTGGCACTACAGTATCAAGCACCGAAGGTACAACCGTCTCTCAGACTACTGACACAACAGTGTCAAGCACCGAAGGTACAACTGTTCCTCAAACTACTGGCACTACAGCTGAGACAACAACAGGCACAACTGAAACTACGACCTCGCCAGTTACAAGCACCGAAGGTACAACCGTTTCTCAAACTTCTGGCACTACAGTATCAAGCACCGAAGGAACCACTGTCTCACAGACTACTGGAACTACAGCTGAGACAACGACAGGCACAATCGCAACTACAATCTCGCCAGTGACAAGCACTGAAGGTACAACCGTGTCTCAGACTTCTGGCACTACAGTATCAAGCAACAAAGGTACCACTGTCTCACAAACTACTGGAACTACAGCTGAGACAACGACAGGCACAATCGCAACTACCATCTCGCCAGTGACAAGCACCGAAGGTACAACCGTGTCTCAGACTACTGGCACAACAGTGTCAAGCACCGAAGGTACAACCGTGTCTCAGACTACTGGCACAACAGTGTCAAGCACCGAAGGTACAACTGTTCCTCAAACTACTGGCACTACAGTATCAAGCACCGAAGGTACAACCGTGTCTCAAACTTCTGGCACTACAGTATCAAGCACCGAAGGAACCACTGTCTCACAGACTACTGGAACTACAGCTGAGACAACAACAGGCACAATTGAAACTACGACCTCGCCAGTTACAAGCACCGAAGGTACAACCGTGTCTCAAACTTCTGGCACTACAGTATCAAGCACCGAAGGAACCACTGTCTCACAGAATACTGGAACTACAGCTGAGACAACAACAGGCACAATTGAAACTACGACCTCGCCAGTAACAAGCACCGAAGGTACAACCGTGTCTCAAACTTCTGGCACAGTATCAAGCACCGAAGGTACCACTGTCTCACAGACTACTGGAACTACAGCTGAGACAACGACAGGCACAATCGCAACTACCATCTCGCCAGTGACAAGCACCGAAGGTACAACCGTGTCTCAGACTACTGGCACAACAGTGTCAAGCACCGAAGGTACAACCGTGTCTCAGACTACTGGCACAACAGTGTCAAGCACCGAAGGTACAACTGTTCCTCAAACTACTGGCACTACAGTATCAAGCACCGAAGGTACAACCGTCTCTCAGACTACTGGCACAACAGTGTCAACCACCGAAGGTACAACTGTTCCTCAAACTACTGGCACTACAGCTGAGACAACAACAGGCACAATTGAAACTACGACCTCGCCAGTTACAAACACCGAAGGTACAACCGTGTCTCAAACTTCTGGCACTACAGTATCAAGCACCGAAGGAACCACTGTCTCACAGACTACTGGAACTACAGCTGAGACAACAACAGGCACAATTGAAACTACGACCTCGCCAGTTACAAGCACCGAAGGTACAACCGTGTCTCAAACTTCTGGCACTACAGTATCAAGCACCGAAGGTACCACTGTCTCACAGACTACTGGAACTACAGCTGAGACAACGACAGGCACAATCGCAACTACCATCTCGCCAGTGACAAGCACTGAAGGTACAACCGTGTCTCAGACTACTGGCACTAAAGTATCAAGTACCGAAGGTACCACTGTCTCACAGACTACTGGAACTACAGCTGAGACAACGACAGGCACAATCGCAACTACCATCTCGCCAGTGACAAGCACCGAAGGTACAACCGTGTCTCAGACTACTGGCACAACAGTGTCAAGCACCGAAGGTACAACTGTTCCTCAAACTACTGGCACTACAGTATCAAGCACCGAAGGTACAACCGTCTCTCAGACTACTGGCACAACAGTGTCAAGCACCGAAGGTACAACTGTTCCTCAAACTACTGGCACTACAGCTGAGACAACAACAGGCACAACTGAAACTACGACCTCGCCAGTTACAAGCACCGAAGGTACAACCGTGTCTCAAACTTCTGGCACTACAGTATCAAGCACCGAAGGAACCACTGTCTCACAGACTACTGGAACTACAGCTGAGACAACGACAGGCACAATCGCAACTACCATCTCGCCAGTGACAAGCACTGAAGGTACAACCGTGTCTCAGACTTCTGGCAC